GAGGCTCATATACAAAGTTCAGTAGTTTAAGGGCTTAATATGAATTAGGTTATTATAGATATTATCCTGGTAATTGCTAAAATATTCAAAGATAGGTCTAAGAGTGAATCATTTAAACTTTTTTCAAATGTTACTTTATGCCTTTTTAATATAAAGTTTCTTTTATTGTATTTATGGTCTGCTCAGTGAAATTACAGAATACTAAAATTGTTGATGTGTTGGAGCTTTTTAAGTTTGTAACTTACCTAATTGGTTTTGCTTAGGAAATTGGCTAACTGGCAATCTGTTGTTGTCATCAGCTAGACCTGCCCCCCCCACACAAAAAAACTCAAGAAAATGCAGGTTCCTGGTAAATTTATTAGTGTAGCTGACATTTTCCCATCTGCTTATCAGAAAGAACCATGTGGACATTGCTTGAAAATAGAAAGTTTAAAAATACTTGCAAAAAATTTTAAATATTAGATAATTGAATGAACTGTCTTACAAGTGAAATTAAATTGATATCCAATTCATAGAATATAATAATTAGACTTGGGGGGTTATTGTAAATATATAGCTATTCAGTTTTAATTTAAAGAAGATTCTTAAGACTTTGAATTAGCATATTTAAATGAAGCCTATTTGTAGAACATAAAAATGCTAGACTTTTAGATAAAAAGTTATTTATACATTTTAATTTATTAAATAGCATTTAGAACATCTCTCACTTTTCACTTCTATTTTTGAAGTAGCAGCTGTATTCACTTTAAGCAGACTGTTGAATCAGAATACCCCCATGCAGAGCTTTCCAACTGGTTTGTCTGTCACACTGATGTGCTGCTAAAGTGTGACAAGTGTGCTGGGATGGTGATTGTCTTGGCCTGGGTCACCCTTCCTCTTTCCTTAGTTTAGCCAGTGTGCCTTACAAGTTGGTATGTGTGTGTGTGTGTGGGGGGGGGGGGTTGTGTGTGTGTGTGTCCAGAGAAACAGTGGTTTAATGAGCATCATAGTCAGACTTTTGGTATGTAAAATTTTTGCAGAAGAAACCAAATATTAAGCTTTATAAAGTTATATTTAAATCTTAAAAGAGCAGCCCTGGCCGGTTTTGCTCAGCGGTTAGAGCATCGGCCCGTGGTCCAGAGAGACCAGGGTTCGGTTCCCGCTAGGGGCACGTACCTCGGTTGCAGTTTGTCCCCGGCCCTGGTTGGGTTGTGCAGGTGGCAGCCACTCGATGTGTCCCTTTCACGTCGATGTTTCTCTCTCTCTCTCTCTCTCCCCCTCTCACTCTATCTGAACAAGAAATGGAAAGATGTCCTCGGGTGAGGATTTAAAAAAAAAATCTTAAAAGAACAATTATATTCAGTTGGAGTTAATCAAATATACTAAATTTTTATCTGAAATTCTGCCTTTTTTTTTTTTTTTTTTTACAATTAATGGAAATTCAAGGAACATCTGGGCTTTTTAGTTTTAAAATCTAAGAGGGCTTCTTTTATTTCCACAGGCATCTTTCAGAAATACTGTTTTAAAGTTAGATACTCCATTTTTTATTGTAAAATTTCTTAACTGCCTCATTTTTCATTAAATACTGCCTTTCCTCCAAAGAAATCAAGGTGCTGTAACAGAGTTTTTAGCTAAACTCTACTAAACATTTGGAAGAAACAGCTCTTTGGAGTCATTGGTTGCTTTTTGTAAAAACAAATTTAATGGTTCCTATCGTGACAAACCTTTTTTCATGCGAGTTTCTCTATAGAAAAGAATTGGTATTAATTATTGTTACTGGTTATTCTACATTCTTTACACTTGAAGTATTTCTGCATTCTTGAACTTCTGTCTTACAACATTAGCACTTACCTTGGGTTTTGTCATTTTATTTGCCGTGACACTTTTATTGTATCCCAGATGATATGACTGCTATGGTATGTCCAAAATCCTCAAGAACTTTGCCTTCATTGAGAACCAGATTTAAAGATACTTTTCCCTAAGCCTGATCCAAATCACAAATATCGCCTTTCTATCTTATCCTGAAGGAATTTTTTCTAGTAGTAGATTACACTTTCTATTTAATCAACCATTTCAAGGGAATTAATATGATGTGATACTAAAATTAAAAACCATCAAAAAGGATGGCCAAACACATATATCAACATGAGTAATTTTCTTCAAAATAGTCCCCTTTAGAAGTGTATCTACTTACTCAGTTGCTGCTGCCATTTCTCATGCTACATATAGTACTTGGAAAATACATTGTATAAAAAGAATGGCTTTATTTATTTTACATCAATGAATAGTCTCCATCTATATATTATTTTTCTCTTTCCTACATTCTTTCTGCTCACTTCACTCACTCACTACTTAATCCCTTCTACTTGACATCATCCTTTCCCACTTTGGGATTTACAGGACTGAGGTGGAGTAAATCTGTAGCCAAGGAAACTTTTAGGATGAGATAGTCATGAAACAGACTGAGTTTGGGAGGTGAATTAAATCACTACATACAATGATGCTTTTAGGAGTTGGGGCTTAAGCCCTTTGGGAAACCTCAATGGAGAAGGTTTGATAAATGCTCAAAATATTTTTGTTATTATGGTTGCAAGCGACAGAAACCCATACACAGACTGGTTCATATAAATGAAAAAACAGGTAGGAAAGGCTTTAGAGATTATATAATTATGACTCTGACTTGGTATCTCTGCTCTTTTGTTGGTTCTACCCTTCTCAGGCCGACATACTAGTATTTTAACTAAAGTTTCAAAGTGTATTAATTTTCTTAAATGAGGTCTGATGGCTAAAATTCATAGGTATCTTTTGTATATATTTAAGAAGCCTAGCATATTTGGAATATAGTAATTGTTAAATTCAATCTTTGCTTAGGTGATTTATATGATATTCATGTATTTAAGTATATAAGAAGAGTTTTAGAGCCTGTAGAACCTATAGTTGTTTTTTTACAGCTAAACAAATATTAGTTAAATCAGATTGCTTCAGCAGACCATATCCAATAAAAGGTTTTTAAGGCAGGTTGCCAAAAAGAACAAAAAAGCAATAAAGGGAGGGGCTATAGCAGTGATTTTTCAGCCCGTGTGCCATGGCACACCAGTGTGCCGTAAGCATTTTTAAAACATGCAGTACCTTGACTATTTAGTCAGGGCACGGCATCTTTCCCCTTAGATTGTCAAATTAAAAAATGGCAACAGCCAACACAATAGCTGTCCAGTATGAATGAATCAAAATGATGCCTATTTTTCATCATATTGGCAAAGAATATAATTTGTGTGTGTGTGTGTGTGTGTGTGTATGTATGTGTTGCAGAATTTTAGTAATTTATATGTGCCATGAAATGACAAGGTTGAAAATCGCTGGCTTATAGGAATAACTTGATGAAAGGACTTAAGGAACAGACGGTACATAAGAATTCAGTCGAGGTGGCAAGGACAATTAGTGCAGACGAGTAATCATGTTGGAGTGGTGCCCTGACTCCACAGGGAGATACCCATTCTGTTGCTGGATCAGTTCTAGTTAGTTCCTCTTTCTGCCAAGGATGTTAGGACAGGGTGTGTAGAAGGAAAGTAGAAGGTAGAGTTGGCTACAGTCAGGATCAAACCAGGCGATGTTCAAGCTCACTTACTATGAATGAAAAGATAGCAGTAGGTACCTCCACACTGGAAAATTCTCTTTACTGCAACCCTCTGCTCTGAAGGTAATTGTACAGGACCTAAGGCACATTTTAAAACCTACTTTAAAGAAAACACCCTATAAATATTTAGATAGCACTAAGATAACTTTTACAGGACTTTTAATGCTCTCCCAAATCTAAATGTATGTCTTGCTGCTCTGCACATACTGATACTGAATGATCTTCAAGTTGTATTCTTGACAGATAATACAAACGTAGAACAGTGTGTACAGTATCTACAGTACAAGTAAAAGTATGTGTATATATACATGTATGTTTGATTATATATGTATAAAATGTCATGGGACGACTACACTAAAAAACTGTTAACAGTGGTTGTCTCCATGGAAGGAAATAGTGGTTGGTGACTCAAAAGCACCCAGTACTTTTCTGGTTTCAGGAGTTACTCAGTAGTTTAAGTAGATGTCTCTGGATCAGAGCTTCTTAATGTTTTACATATCACATGTGGCTTCCTAATTACAAATGATCCAGAGATAAAAAAAACAATTCTGTTTTCACTCTCTAGTACGCCATTTATCTTAAAAGTTCACATTTGTTTTCAGGTGGTATAAGAAAAAGGCAGCTCCTCCCCTTCCCAATCTACAGGGTATCCCAAAATAGTGTGTACACAACTTTGAAAAATTATAAAGCCAATTGTTTATTAAAATACATTTCATTTTTAAAATGTAATAGAATCTTCAGATACCCTGTATACATTTTGGGGTGAGCACTCCGTATATCACTGGAAAATGGTCCCTACACAGTTCTGAAACTAGTTATTAAGAGTGGAGCACATTTAATCAGCTATATCTAGGACTCCCAGCACATATTCCTGAGCTAATTGAACAGAAGACATTCAGAACTCTTCTCCCCTTTTAAGGGATTTGAAGAACCTTATTTTCCCTCTCCTGCTCTGTTCCCCAAGCAAAAGCAGATTCCCAGTGTAGCTCTAGGAGGCTCACCACCTTCTAAGCATTGAATCTCTTACAAAGCGATCATTTGCCTTCAAAATAACAAGATAAATGGCTGAAAATTTAGGGTAATTTTTTTGCTACTTGACCCAATTAACTATTGATTTGTAAGAATCTCTCAGAGGTATGTTTTATAAATTATATTTATTGTAAACAGCTTCATTAAGCATTGTTTAGAAATATTCAATATAGTTTACTATAAATTATTTTTCAGACACGGTTTGAGAACAAATTTGTTCAGAATTTAGCCAGTGAAAGTTTGTTCAGAATTTAGCCAATGAAAGGATGTGCCATTATGCTGTCCTATGTTTTCAAATATTTAAGTACATGCTGTGAAAATTGTCTTTTGTTTTTGTTTTGTTGTTGTCACAAAACAGAAAGAAGAAGGAAAGCTTCAAGGACAGCTTAACAAGTCTGATTCTAACCAGTATATTAGGGAACTGAAAGATCAGATAGCAGAGCTGAATCATGAGGTAAGTGATAAATTCTGATCTTCACATATTTCTTTCTTCCTTCCTCTGTATTGTAACAGCACTTTATTACTGGTTATGATGAACTCTTTCATGATAAGTGTTTTCTGTAAATCCTTGATTGTAATTATATTTGAGAAGACTGTCTTCTTTTTAATAAGATCTTTTTCTGTTCCAATATTGAGGATTTATTTTTCTTAAACCTCTTTAATCATGATCTAAAATAGTCAATTAATATTTACATGAAAATTTTTTTATTGTGTTCCAAAAACCCTAGTTTGTCTAAGTGTCAAAGTGACTTCAATTAAACTAATTTTTTATATTAATGGATTTGTTGTATTTACCGTTGTGGCTAGAAGGAAGTCATTTTATTCTTCTCTTCTTTTTCCCTGCATGGTGCTATTACTGAGATTGCAAAAAAGGATACTTGCCTAATATCAGTTAACAGATTTCTTAGTATCTCAACACTTTTAAACTGACACTACCTTGAATCTGTGAGATTCAACTCATGAAATTCAGATAGGGTACTGTATTAAGTAATTTAAATTATTTAAACTAATATGTTCTGATTAGGGAAATACATTTTGTTAATGTGGCTGTAGGTCAATTTCCTTGTCCTCTATTATTTTTTAATGATAAATAGCTTCCTAAACATGAATAAAAAAGCACATTTCTCATCTTGTCTTGAATTATTTGTACAATAATGTTTATTCACAATGATGATATTTGAATGCATAACACAAACCACTATGTTAAGAAAAAAACTCTAGTTGGCCACTAAATTAATTTAAACCTCAAAGGAAAAAGTTTAGACATTACCCTTTTCTGGTGTTGCACTCTTCAGTTAAAGTCTGAGTGTTTTGAGTAATATCTCCTGGAGGTTGTCAATCTAAGTCAATTCTGAATGAAGAAACAAAACAAAAATAATAAATCTTAGATATAGTTTAATTTGTCCTAAAATTTTGGGAATCATTCCTATAAATATTGGTTTTTTAGCCATGGTTACATTCGAGGGATTCGGGATTATGTATAATTTTTATTTATTTGTATGCATTTTTTATAATCTCTTCTGATCTAATAGCTAAGGATGAAAAGACAAGTTGCAAATAAACATGTTCTAGAAATCCTTATTCTTTTGAGAACCCAAACATTATTCCTTGCGTTCAAAAGGTTTTTCAAGGAAATTATGACTAAAATAAAACCATCTCCCATTTATAATTTTGACTTCTAGTGATAAGGAAGCTTTCATATTGCTGAATTGAGAAAATTATATGTGGATTGATTTTATTTCTAAGACTAGCCTAAAAATCAGTCAGCAAATATTAAATTTGCCTGTCATGTACCTTGACTAAAAACAATGATATTCTTCTCATCAGGACAGGCAGAAAATAGTTCAGAGGAGGTTTAACTTTAATATCAGTTTTTCATGTGTGGCCTGTGAAAGCCATCTTTACAAATATGCAAAGAAAATTAATCAATGGTAGAATTTTCTACTGTTAAAGAACTAGATTGTGCAAATACAGTTTGTGGTGAAATGGTAATTGTGCGATTCAAAGTAAGTAGGCCAGAGTCCTGGGCAGGCCCTATTCGGAAAACATGGTAGAGTAGAAAATGAGTATAGCTGGGGACCGTAAGAGGTCAGAGGGAGGGTGAGTACAGAGTTGGGAGTTTAGAGAAGGCCAGATTCCATTAAAAATTAATGTGACTAAATTGTGTAGGAAATAGGGTGGATTGAATAGAGCCAGCTTAGGGTGAATCTTCAAAGCTAGAAGAGATTAAATTTACTAAATAGTATGAAATCAGTATAGGTCTTCAATTGGAAATTCCTTTTGGTTGTTTTCTGAACAGATTTTAATATATTTACCTGTTTAAAAGTTTTATGACTAACGAAAGGATAAATGAAAAGAAGTGAAAGTTTAAACCAAGATACTGGTTGTAGTAGACTTATGAAAATTACTGTTAGGCCAGCTTCTTAGGAGGGTTAATTAAATAAGGTCACTTTTTATTCTACTGATTATTTATTTATTTATTTACTTATTTTCAGTTACAGTTCATAAATAGTATTATATTAGTTTCAGGTGTACAATATAGTGATTAGACGTTTATATAACTTACAAAGTGATCACCCCCTTCTTGTAATATAGCACTTCACAGTGGAAAAAAAAAAGTATACAAAATCAGTTTAAAATTTCCAACTTGCCCTGGCCTGTGTAGCTCAGTTGGTTGAGCATTGTCTTATGCACAAAAAGGTCTAAATTCAATAAATAAGATATTTTTAAAAGTTTACAATTTAACTTTTGCCTGTATGGTAGAATTTGCCAAAATCTTTGGCTTTCAACATAAAAATTAACTTTCAAGTATTAATAAAATGAGCATGTGATTGTTAATAGTCACTTTGTTACCTGCTTTTTGTACTTCTCTAAATGTTGAAGGAAATGTTGAAACAAACGGTGCAGATACATCATTATTGTACATGTTATAACAACTATGACCACTTAGAATAGTCAGCTGTATGAAATAATAAAGAGAATTAAGCAGGTTATTTTTTGTGGATGGCCGATTTTATTGTTGATCTATAAAATAACAGTAATACCGGCCACTGTGGCTCACTGGTTGAGCATCGACCCATGCACCAAGAAGTCACAGGTTCAATTCCCGGTCAGGGCACATGCCCAAGTTGTGGGCCCGATCCCCATTGGGGACATGCAGGAGGAGGCCAGTTGATGTTTCTATCTCTCTCTCTCTCGCTCCCTTCCTCTGTCTTTAAAATCAATAAAGAAATATATTTTTTAAAAAAACAAGCCCTGGCCAGTTTGGCTCAGTGCTTAGAGCGTCGGCCTGCGGACCAGAGAGTCCTGGGTTCGGTTCCCGCTAAGGGCACGTAACTTGGTTGCAGTTTGTCCCCAGCACTGTTGGGGTCATGTGGGTGTCTCTCTCATATCAATGTTTCTCTCTTCCTCTCTTTCTCCCTCCAAATCTTTCTGAAGATAAATGCAAAAAAGTGTCCTCAGATGAGGATAAAAAAAAGAATAATAGTTACTATCTATTGAGTACCCTCTATAAGCCAAACATTGTGTCAAATGCTTTCTATTTACTATTTCTAACCCTCTTTCATAATAATCCCACATGGATATAGAAACAAACTCACAATAATGAAGTAACTGGCCCAGGGTTATAAAGTAGTAAATGATCAAGCCAGGATTAAATTCAGTTCGGCCTGTTCTTTTCAGTGCTGCTTGTAGAGACATTAGACAACGTCATCAGGGGTAAGTAAGCTGTAACAGCATCTCAGCTGGGTTTTGAAAAATGAAGAATATTTTCGGGCAGATTAGGCATCAGGAACATTTAAATAAACAAAATTGTACGTGCCAAGAATGAATAAGCCATCTACTTTTGCAACATAGTTCTGTCTTCTTACAGCTGCTGACCACTAAAGGCAAAGAATATTTTCTAAATAGCAGGAAAGGGAGGCAGGGGGTCGAAAGTTACTCTCATTTATAAGCCAAAGGAAATGTACACAGAAATCATCTAGGTATAGACATAGTGAGAAGTGTAATCCTATAGTTCAGCCAAATTACCAGTCGACTAAGCTTCTCTGGGTCCTTTGAAGCCTTGTTACCATTTACAGTATTGTTTCTTGGGAAAATGCATACTAAACAACTGATTTGAAAATGTTTTTGAAATACAGACTATATGTTTTCACTTGTTCTTCATGGTGATTTGTTCTGATGGATGTTCTAGGAATAGGTAAATTTATTTCAGAATAGAGAAGTTAGCTTAGCTCTGGCTGGTTTGGCTCAGCAGTTAGAGCATTGGCCCACAGACCAAAGGGTCATGGGTTTGATTCCAGATCAAGGGCATGTACCTGGGCTGCAGGTTCAATCCCTGGGGTTGTGCAGGAGGCAATCAATCAATGTGTCTCTCTCACATCAATGTTTCTCTCTCTCCCCCACCCCTCCACTCTATCTAAAAATCAATGGAAAAATATCCTCAAGTGAGGATTAACAAACAAAAAAAGATAGTTCCCTTATGCTAAAAATTAAGTATTTTTCATTAAACTGTTTTGATTAATTTTTATGCTATCTTAATAAGACAATTTTAATGTGCTTCATGTTCTTGAAATCTTACAAAAGTAATTCTAGTTCTATTTGCTTAATAGCTTTTCTTTTTTTCCCTGGTTATAAAACTTCTCTTCAGCTAGTCTTCAGTTGGTTATTCAAGTTGATTGTTATATTTTAGTTGTAATTTCAGTTTGGTCCTTGGAGGAAGTGAGTGTAACATCCACCTTATCTGCCACCATCTTGGATGTCCTAGCTTTTCTTCCTTTTTTAAAAAATAAATTTTTATCTTTCAATTACAGTTGACATATAATATTATGTTAGTATCAGGTGTACAACATAGTGATTAGACATTTACATAACTTACAAAGTGATCATCCCAATAAATCTAATACCCATCTGACACATACGTAGTTATTACATTATTATTGACTATATTCTCTATATTGTACTTTATATCCCTGTGACTGTTTTTATAACTGGCAATTTGCAATGTATAGTCATGATTCTTTCTCCCTTTTTACCTGTCCCAGTAATCCCTTTGCCCCATCTGGCAACCATCATAATGTTCTCTGTATCTATAAGTTTGTTTCTGTTTTGTTTGTTTGTTTATTTATTTATTTTTAGGTTTCACATATAAGTGAAACAATATGTATTTGTTTTTCTCTGGCTGACTTATTAACATAACATAATACCCTCTAGGTCCTTCCAAGTTGTCACAAATGGCAAGATTCTACTGTGTGTGTGTGTGTGTGTGTGTGTGTGTGTGTGGCTGAGAAAGATTCCGTTGTATATATGTACCACATCTTCTTTACCCATTTGTCTGTTGATGGATGCTTAGGTTGCTTCCATATCCTGGCTATTGTAAATAATGCTAAAATGAACATAGGGATGCATATGTCATTTTGATTTAGTGTTTTGGGTTTCTTCAGATAAATACCCAGA